TCCATGCTGAATGTTCTTCACACCTGTTCTCCAAATCCCAAAGGCTCAAATACTACAGATATTTATGTTATAATGTAATAAATTACAAGTTAACAGTAAGAAGTCTTTAAAAATAAATTGCCACATTTAGAATGTATAAACAACAAGGTCCTATGGTATATAGCTATGGTATAGCACAGGGAACTATATCCAATCTTCTGGGATAAACCATATGGAAAAGAATATTAAAAAAAAGAATGTCTATACGTGTAAAACTGAGTCACTTTGCTATACAGCAGAGATTGGCACAGCATTGTAAATCAACTATACGTCAAGTAAAAAACAAACAAACAAGCAAAATAAATTGTCGTGGGGCAGATCACTTAAAATTTATACAACTGTGATTGGAGCACCAAAAAAGCAAAGCAAAGCGAACCAACCAACCAAGAAACTAATCAACCAAACAAACAAGCCAAACCCAAGTAACAGTCATATTAAAATAGGACTTTACTTTTAAATAGAAAGATGATGGTAGCATGAAGGAAGCGTTGAGGAAAAAAGACAAACTGAACATGAGAACCATGTAAGAAGCACTTTCAATCCAGGACATATTTGCAAACTGAGCCAAAAAGAACAGTGGAATAATGGTGCTTTGTATATAGCCATGTACTATATTTTTCTGCTACTACTTGGAGGTTCAAAACGTTCAGGTGATGGGTAAAAGAGTATGAACCAACTTCAAAGTTCTATTGACATCATTTCCTGGCTTACAAATCACATGTGAGTTAATTCAGATTTCAGAAATAATCTGAAGAATAGACTGAATTTCAGTGTCCAGTTTAAGCTTTTATTTCCTCCATCAAAATTTCCCTGATCCCCTTGGCTAGAAATGACATTCCTACTTCTGAACACTAAAGTACTTTATACTTGTCTTATAGCTCTTATGTTTTCCACCCCATGCATACTTATCGAGGTGCATGTCTTATTCTTTTACAGGGTTGCAGTCTTTTTCAGCTAATTTCTGATTTTATCTGTGTATGCTCTATAGCACTTCAAATGGCATCCTGCATATAACAGGTGTTTGAAAATATTTGATGAATGAATGAATGAGTGAATGAATGATGAGCAAATTAAATATAGCAGAGAAATGAGAGGCAGATAGTAAATAAAAAAGAGACTAGATGAAAATCTTGCACCCTCCTACTTTTTGTTTTCTGTTTTGGTAAAGGCATGAAAGAATCCAAAATTTAAGTTTTTAAGATTTCTTTGATATCTGTATATCATAATAAAAACCAGACTTTGATGATTTGATAATTTAAAATATTTTTATTTTGCATAAAGTGCAGCTGGACAAGAACCGTTAGATTCAGTGCATGTTCTTTTCATTTGTTTTTAAAGCTATTATTCATTTGGTTTATTGTATTAGCAAAAGAAACTGTTCATTTTTTATCTTTTGAGCTGTATTTCAAATACTTTCAAGTTACTCATTTTATAGATTGGCCTTGTCAGAAAAAGAGAACCACATAAAAGTTTTAATTCCATAGATTATTTAACCTTTAAGTTGCTGATTCAAGTGAACTGTACATTTTCTTTGACCTTTTTCTTTTGGGATATACTCATTTTCATTGACTTGTAAGAGTTCTTTACATAGTAGAGGAAACTACAAAATTGTTTTATAGGTCAAAAACAGTTGAATATCCACAACTTCATATGATTCAACTTAAATCATATATTTATGTTGGTTGCCAAGGTTTTCCCAGTTTGTTCTTTTTACTGTAATGTATTTTTAAAGCATAGAACAAGTTTAAAATTTTTTTGTGGTTTAACTTAGAGGTCCTTTGCTTTGTCCTCTATTGCTTTATTGCAGCAAAAGTTCTTTCCATCCCAAGGGCAGATAAATATTTTTGTAGTTTCATATTTTTTAATTTAACTTTTAAAATCCATCTGGAATTTTGTTTGAATGTGTTGTTAAGGCCAGGATCTGTTTACTGAGTGAAGAAACAATTACCCTCAGATTCTTGAGCTAACTCTATTGTTTAATTTCATGCCCCATTGCTAAAATCACAAAATTATTGTGTGTCCTAGCAATATAACATCTTTGACCTTGAGTCCTCATAAAATACATTATTCTGGTTCCTTGGTTTAGCTGATGTATTTCAAGGACCAGAGTAATCTAGAGACCTTCATTTTGAAAGTGTTTACTCTAAGGATGTAAGTAAGTAATAAGGCACACAATACTTGATTTACTTGATGGCTTCTCCTAACATAAAATTCTATCACTCAGAAAATTTTACACATTAACTCACATGGACAATATTGTTTTAAAAATGTTCTTTAAGTAGAAAGATTAAAAAAATCTTGATTGTGTTCTTCTTTTATACTTAAATTGGACTTTATACTTAAGTTGGGCTTAACTTTAGGAACGATATATATATTTATATATATATATATATTTAAAAATTTTCCTTTGCATTTAAGATACCAAGTGATGACATTACTTATATATTAAGTAGTGGTATAGACCTGTGTCAAAGTACTTTTTCCATCATAGATGTTTTAGACAGAAATTTCACTGATTTATTCTAAAATTTTTAGAGCTTGTGTTAGTGTTCCTGTGGAATAAAACATGCAATGTTAAATGAATTCAGCTATTCTAAATTTCTGTTATTTGATCTAAATTGTAGGTAATGGCTCTAATACCATTGATAAGAAAAAAGTAAATTGCTTAAGTTTTGGAATTTAGTGTTAAGACATTCTGGTGATGCTTGTTAAGCTCTTTGAGTGGGTAAAGACTCTGGCTTCTCCCTTTTCTGTTTGGACATCTCAAAACACCAGTAAAGATTTTTTTCTTTTTGAGACGCTGAAGAAATATGTGTATACACTACTATTCAAACTCTCTCTATCTGAACTCAACAACTTAATAGGTTCAGATAAATTTTTAGATAAATCCCTGTATCTAAATTGTTGCTATTTGCCATCTAAAACAGTGGGATGAAACTGATTCCGTAATAAGCTATCCAGTTCAAAGACCAAATAAATTTGGATAGTGAGGTATATTTGTAATGTCTCATGCTAGGTTTCCTTTATAATGGATCACCCAAAGGGGGAAGATAAAATGGAAATACACTTTTAGATTCAAAGGACTGATGATCACCACATTGTCTGAGAAGCTCTGCCTTTTAGTTTCCTAGCGTTTCCTTAGGACTTACTGTGTTCTCAGACTTTAGTAGGTCTGGGTGGAATGGGGAACAGACTACAGTCACAACTAACTCAATAGGGACAGAGGTTTGCCCTCTTGAAATGGGCTTGTCAGAGCTGGAAGTTGGGATTTCCATGGCCACTAAGTGGCTTCAGTTGCCTGCAAGGAAAGGGTCAGGCCCAGAGATACTACAGGGGTGAAAACATTTTATTTTAGGAAAATAATTTTATTTGGGAGTATTTATTTTCTGAGCTATTTTGACGGAACCAGTTTGTTAAACTTAAAGACCTTTGAGGATCATCTCGTTTCATCCTCTCATTTTAGACATAAAGCATTTAGGAAGACTTCTCCAAGTTGACTCAGCTACATAGAGCAGAGTCAGAGCTAGAACCCAAGTCCCCTTTTTAGTTTTTAGCTAGTTTTTTAGCTATCAAATCAGTGATAACAATCTATTTTTTATTTTTCTGAAGTCACATTACAGAATTATGTATATATCCTGGAGAAAGTATGTATAGGAATATTGTGTTGAAGGCAGGTGGTGAAGTGGTTGCTGGTGGCCACCTTATGGGAAGGATCGAGCAATGGTAGTATTTACTGTCAATCAAGTTGAGCTTTTAGATTAATGAGCTGACCACTTGCCATGACCCAAAGTTGGGGAGTTTTAAAAATTCCTACTTGTTGTGAATGAGTCCTAGACTCATATACCTTAACTCCTTTTCTTCAGATAAATAGCAACACTTCTTTTCAAGTTCTTTTCTCTCTCAAGTTTTCTGTTGTTTTTGACTAATATTTAACCTTTAGAAAAGTGTTGGAAAACTTGTTTTTTGTTTTTTTTTTTTAAATCACAGACCAATAGAAAACACAACAAACAAATCTAAAACAAATTCATTTTATATCAGTTCAAAATGACTTATGGCAATATTGAATTTTTTTCCCTCTGGGCAAGGTAGGGAGGAAGCCAATAGTGTTCATCTCAACTACTTTTTATAGCAAGTTCAGGGAAATGTACAACTTTTATTTTTAAGCATTTATGCTAAGGTTATCTATAATTTATATATTATGGCTATTTCTAGAGAATAACAGAGATGAGGGAGCCTAAGAGGGAAGGAAAAGTGAAAGGATGGGGAGGAAAAGAGATAATCAGGATGAGAAGAGTGATGGAGAAAGAGCTACTAAATGAGAAAATGGGATACTTCTATCTAAGAGTGAAGGGAAAGAGAGAACAGACCAGAGAGCTACTTGAATAGGAGTGCGTGTGAAGGAAGCCATGGTGAGTGGACCTGGGGAGGGAGGGGAAGCATGTCCCAAGGGTAGAGAGAAGGAAAAGGAAAAGAGCAGTGGGCACATTTCTCTTCAAGGCCTCATAGGGCTTCCTCCACTAACCTTCCCATTCCCCTGGATTGTCCCATCTTCCCTCCTGTGCCTCAGCCCTAGTCTTCAGCCAGCCAGGAGCCTAGCTCTTGATCCATTGTAGCTCCTACGTGTTGTTCACTGCTTATTATGAATCTGCCAAGTGGGAGGTGCAGTGAGGATTGAATGATACAAGTAAGACCTTGAAAAGCTCTTAGAGCATGAGTTGCCACATAGTTATGTCCCCAAAAGTGGAAGCTTTAATAATAATTGTTATATTTCTGTAAATATAAATCATGTTTGAAACATTTAAATTGAGTCCTTGATGTAAAACTTTAGAAGTAGATATGTTATATAGTCATTTTCTTAATGGTATGTTGAAGCTGAATCGAATGAAAATCTAGTTGGTCTAGATTAAATCTAAATCCACCAAAAATTTTAATTATGTCTCATTTTCTCTTCCTTTTTGTAGTGATTTAAAGGGAGTGATAGTCACTCTGAGTGATGATGGTCACTTGCAGTGTTCATACCTGGGGACAGACCCTTCTTTGTTCCAAGCTCCAAAAGTTGAATCTAGAGAACTAAACTATGATGAACTTGATATAGAATTGAAAGAACTTCAGAAAATCATCAAAGATGTTAACAAATCACAAGGTATTTCATTTGCAGCTTTTTATTATTTGATTTTAGTATTCATTGTAAAATTTATATTATTTTGTATATGGATAATGTTTTGTACATATTAGTTGATTTTCTCCCCCAGGCTTAATTAAACTCATTTTTGTAAAAACAGCATTGCTCTTTAACACACTAGTCTTTGTGCTTAATTTGTATTTTATAGCTTCTGAAAAATATGTCCTATTTAAGGTAATACTTTTGTTAGTGTGTTTCAGGGACAGTGCTGAGTTTTTTTCTTTAAACTCTAAGAAAGGAACATGTATTTCTTTGGATAGTGGTTTTAGACCTTTAGAATTACATTAAGGTTTAGAGTGATCATTTATTAACTTCTAATATCCCTGAAAAAATTTTAGTTGCTTATTTTAAAAGAAACCAAAGCAGTATGTGAATTACTACTTTGTTACTAAAAATGTAGTCATTTGCAGCCTAGTGATATAATTTATGTTTGTAGTTAATTAGCGATCCAAATGGAGTGTAGCCTGTGGCATGCTGATTTCTAATGACTCAGAGGCTGATGATATTTTCAGTTCTTGAGTTTTGTATAACTCAATATTATCTTACTTCGGGATTCACAGGGGTATAATTTTACTGTAAATTAAAAGGAGAAACAAAACAGCAATCCTGCAGTTTGAGTTGGACATGTGAAAAGCATTACTTTAAGTTCCCTTCTCAGGGTCAGGTAAAAGTATTTTTTTAATGAGAAAAAATATGGACTATTTTCACTTAAAAGAAATGTTAAAACAAGCAGGAATAATAAAAGAAGCAGAGCATCAAAAGCCAACCAAAACAACAGAGCCAATCTTAATCCTAGTCCAATCACTTTCCTAGATTTATGTATTTTTGAGCCCATATTACCAAGAGACATTCAGAGGAATTTAGATAATATATTAAAAATATTAATATTAAAATAAAATTATTATGCTTTGGTTTTACACATTCTCTTAGAAAGTTTTGAAAATAAACAAGTGAAACTTAGGTCTTTTAAGTACCTCCAATTATTTAAAAACCCATTTGTTGTCAGGACCCTCATGTCAAATAGAGAATAGTTAAAACTGGATGTGTCATATTGCATATTTTTTTCCATTTTTGATACTAGTGTTTTGGGATTAATGGAATATAAGTCTCATTTTGTCACTTAAAAATGTAATTGGAGAAGAGTGGCATACATATGAAACATGAAATTTCCAGAGTTGGTTAAATAAGTTTAATGTGGCTTTTCACTACAAATTTTGTGTCTTGAGATTTTGGCCTTTCCATAAATAGTGTGCTAACGATATTTTGATTAACACTTGATTATGTAAAACATTTCTCAGGTAAATCCCTTACAGCTAAAAGTTATTTTTTGGTGGCCATAGTGATGCCCTTGGGTGAGAAGGGTTAGGCTGTTTTACTTGTCATTACCCTGATTCTTCTGTGTATCTTAAAATAAGTGCTAATTAAGCTAGGGATATACCCACAGATGAGTGCAAAGTTTATTATTTACATAACCTCAAAGTTAATATTTGAAGTTCTCTGCCCCTTCTTTGCCACCATCATTTGGTTTTATTCGAACAAAAGAAACCGAGACTCTTAAAAAAGAGAGACTTTTAACATATTTTATTTCTAGATATGGAAAAAATTTAGTATTCTCTACACTTATAAAATTGTGGTATATTTATTCATTAAAATGCCTGTAATCGGGCTTCCCTGGTGGCGCAGTGGTTGACAGTCTGCCTGCCGGTGCAGGGGACACAGGTTTGTGCCCCGGGCCGGGAAGATCCCACATGCCGCGGAGCAGCTAGGCCCGTGAGCCATGGCCGCTGAGCCTGCGCGTCCGGAGACTGTTCTCCGCAACGGGAGAGGCCGCAGCAGTGAGAGGCCCACGTACCGCAAAAAAAACCCCCCAAAACCTGTAATTATATAAAAGCACCAAATCATTTCATTACAGAAGATTATGAGAAGTTAAAACTCTGAACTTTTTGATGACCTCATTATTCATTTAAATGCCACCTATTTTAATACAGTGACTTTAACTTGCCAAAAAGAAGTTCATAGTCTTGTGGGTTATGTTCAGCACTTTAAAGCTTGTTTTATTTCTTCAAAGCAAGAATTGCAGCAAAATGTAAAGCCAATTTAAAGAGTATATTTTGTTTTACACATGGTATATATTATCTACTGTAATAAAAGTATTTTTGAAGCTGATTTTATGTGTGTAAGTTATATGAGGGATGTATGTTGTAAGCATGAAATTATAGTAATAATTTCTGTATGGCTTATGGATTTTGAAGCTTTTCATACTCAACTCATTAGTGAGAATCCTGCCTTGCATTTCTGTTACTAGTAGTCAACAACATCTATCAGTAGGCACTTTCAAAAACAGAGTTTCCTTATGATTGATTTAGACAGTTGATATGTTCTTTACTTGGGATGGATATGAAGTAAAGGGTACAATACTGAGATAGACTCCCACACAGCATACTTGTGTCTTCAGGAAGGGAAAGAGAGCAGTAAGACATGGGCGTATAAATGAAAGTCTTCACCCATTTGAAATATGTCTAGGATAACTAAGTTGCTTCTACCATTGAGTAGTAGAAACATTTGTACTTGGTAACCTTGTTGGAAGATGTGCTATTCGGGTTTATGTCTGGCTGCATATAACAGAATGCCTAAATAGGGTGGCTTAAATAAGGCACAGGTTTATTTCGTTCTCATGGAAAAGAAGTCCAGTAATGGGCAGTCCAGGGTTGATTTGGCAGTTCCAAAGTCATCAGGGACTCTGATTCCTTCTCACCCAGGGTCTTCTGTTGGTCTAGGATGGCTTCTGGAACTCCTGCCCTCACATCTGCAGCTGAGTCAGCCCACTTAACGATCTTTCCTGGAAGCCACATCCTGAACAGCTTCCACTTACATCTGACTGGCCACTCCAAGCTGCAAAAGAGCCTGGGAAATTTAGCATTTTGGTTGAGCACTTTGTTACTTAGGATAAAATTGGACTCTTCTTTAGTAAAGAAGAACTGAAGAATCTTTACTGGGTGGGCAACAAGCAGCCTTTTATACTCTCACTAAGTTGTGGAAATTCTTATTCCAAACAGTGTAATATTGGTGGGAATGCCTGGTGGCAATTGTAGGTGGTTCTTCTCTTTGTGAGACAGCTGATTCATGTGACATCATCCAGGTGCTTTCTATATTTTCAGTCAGCCATCCTCAGTGTGGGGGGATGTTTCCTCTCAGGGTCACAGGGTGATTTTAGCAGTTCCAGGCATTATGTGCAAGTATGATTTCCAGGGAAGAAGAGAGATATTTCTCCCAAGTATCCCCATTTATTAGGGAGGACTAGCTTTCCCAGAAGCATGTACCAGCATGCCAACTCCCACCTTTCCTCACCTCACATCTGCCAGGATTAGGCTCCATGATCACGACTAAAACAACAAAAGGTCAGGGGAGAAATCATCATGATGGGATTTGACCAATTCAATAACTTTGAGATGAGGTGAATGCCTCAACAGAATTAGTGTTCTGCCACAAAGAAGGAGGAGAGAAGAATGGATGTTAGGGGGACAGCCAATAATCTGCCATATATATATATATGTATATATATATATACACATATGTATGTGCATTATTTATGTTTCTTATTTATTTAGGATCTCTATAACTTGTTTTTAATACCTCATTATACACTATAAACATTTTTTAAATTGTGAAATTTTCAATTGTAAAGAGAAAATGAATATGGTCAAAATAATTCAGACAGTACTGAAAGCATAAACCCCAGCTCTTAGTTCCACTAGATTATTTAAAGGTAACCTTTATTAAAAGTTTTTGTGTATTCTTTGAGAAAATTTTCCTGTTTATATAATTGTTTTTACACAAATACATGTGTATTAGAGACATTGTACTACATCTTGCTTTTTTTAAATCAATAGCATATCTAGGATTTCTTTTCATGTCAGTATATAAAGATGGACAGCACTCTTATTTAGAGTTTTGGGTTTTGGACCATTGCACAGTATTGATATACCATAATTTAGTTAACTATTTCTCTATTAATAGAAATATAATTTAGATTTAGGCTGCTTTGTTTTTAATAATTACTAGCAACAGAGAAACTCCTTGGTCATGTCTATGAGTATTGGGTAAATGTTTGGGAGTAGAATTGTTAAGTCACAGGGTATATGAATTTTACATTTTTTTGGTGAATTTTACATTTTGATAATTATAGCCAGTTTACCTTCAAAAGAGTTGTACTCTTTTTGGCTTCTACCAGTAGCTAAGGATAGGGAATTGAAATTCCTGACACTGGTCAGTCAATGGGTCACATCTTAGCTAATATCTTTGGAAAAAGAGACAGTTTTTCTTTCTAGTAATGTAGAAGGGAAAGAATTAGCATAAAGCTTCTCATTCTGTAATGCCTCAGTTTTTTTTTCAACTCGTGAGTATATTTTTGATATATGGTATAGATAAACCTTAAAACAACTATATACAGCAAGTTTTACTTTATGAGTAAATATATTTTTTTCTCTTAAAATTACAGGTGTATGGCCTATGACCGAGAGAGAAGATGACCTGAAAGTCTCTGCCGTGGTTTCTCCTAACTTTGATTCAGTAACTGTAGGTGTATTTGCAGACTTTCAAAGGGTTTGTGATAGTGGCGGACTCTGATAAATTGGGATCAAAATGTATTGGTTTAAATTCTGAGCCTCCAAATAGAAACTTTAGGGAAGATAAGTTTTAGGCTTTGCTACTTATAGAAAAAAACATTTCTGAGTTCTTTGTGTAATAAGAAGTTCCTTAGGCAGGATTTCTGTCTTAAAAAAGGGGGAGGGAAGGGAAATGGTCAAAGAGGTTCTCACCATTACTCTGAATCTACCTACTTTTTTTAAAAAAACTTTTTCAGTACTGAGTATTGAGATAATCCTAATCCAGATAAACAATACTGACCCCACTAGATTTTTGTTGAAGGTTCAATGAGATAATGTTTATGAAAGGCATAGCTCAGGGTTTGGTAATTTATAGTCTTTAATACATTATGGTGGTTGTGGTGGGGAAGTAGTTTAAGAATAGAGTTGGGCCAGGAATTATTTTTTCTCTTATTTCTATCTGCGTGACCCAGGGCAAGGTATTCAATTTTCTTAGTCTCAGTGTTCTCATCTGTAAAATGGGAATAGTAATAGAATCCACTTTGTTGAATTATGGTAATTAACTAACAAATCATTATAATAATAAAATTACATTTTAATTCTTTTAAAATGATCATCACGATCATCACCACCACAACCACCACCACCACCACCTGCATTCTACTTGTCTCCTTCAGTGCCATATCCTTAGTGCCAGTCACATAATGGGTGTTCAGTATATATTCGCTCTATAAATGAATTAATAAAGCTGAGAAACAAGAAAGGAGGACTGTCCTTGGTTACGTTACCCCATCTCTTTGTTTAGTCTTCTGTACGCACTTGTTAGATTATGGTTGGTTTTCTCTCACTGCCTGCAGTTTAGGCAAAATATATTAAGTTTATCTATATCTGTACCAAAGTTGATCAATTTAGGAAAGTGATTGAATTCACTGTTTTTTACTCTGTATGGAATTTATGTCATATAATTTTTGCTTAGGAAATGACTTTGATATTTACGTATCACAGCATAATATAGTGAGTAGTTCCATAAGCTTTTCAAAGATTAATCTTAGTATAAACAGCCAACCCAAGTTGTGATAAACATTAACATTGCCATAGTATAGTAAGTTGGGTATACGTAAAAAAAGTAGGACTATATATGAAAGAAACATTCACCCAGCTGAGTCACATAGTAGAGGTACTGTTTAAACATTGGATATTCAGCACACACCATTTCTCACTCTACCTGAAGGGTGTAGTCGGAGTGGAACATTTTTGCTTAGTTAGCTGACAAATGTACACACATTTTTTTGCCTTGGAAATGATTCTTTTTTTCCTTTGGGCAACTTATATAATTTTTTCTAGGTTCTCTTAAACATAGGCTATTTGGATTGAAATTCCCTTTCTGTTCTTTAGCAACTTTTGATCTTTCTGAGGAAAGGCCTTATGTAATAGCACTGTATTGTAATATATATTTCCCTATCAGTAACCTGGAGTGGTTTTTCCTCTTAACTAGATGTCTCTTTTCAGCTTCATTTCCCCTTCTTACTATTTCTTTCCTTCTTAAGAGATTCTTGAGAGTATCATATTCATCCCATTGGAAAACATCAGTCCAACGATTTAGGTGGCTGTGATGCTATGCTGTCTTTGTAGAGCTACTTCTCTCTGGCTGTAATTTCATGTTTCCAAAGGACTTTTGTCCCTGAAATATCTAGGTGTTTAGATATGGATTGAAAAGAGCAGGAAACAGGAGATGTTGGTTTCTCTTCCAGAACTGCCGACAGCTAAATGTGAAACATTTCCTGGATTTTAGGTAGTACTAGAGCAAAAGGCCTGGCTTAATATTTTATTTTCAATCATTGTTATGAAAGCACACATCCAAAAAATAATATAATTAGTGTTAGAATGGGGGATTTTATAGAAGAGATAAACATCGCTATCCTCTCTTCTTGACTGAGAAGTTGGATCAAAGTTCATATATAGTTTCCTATGGAATCATAAATAGAATATGAATCTTCCAACTCTTAATTATGCTGATGGCCATTACATCATAGTGATCCCCACTGCTTAGAAGTGATTTAATTTTTCTTAGTAAAATAATTCCAAATAGGTTAACAAAGTACAATGGATTTATTCATTGTTGGACAGAGACTTCATGATCTTAATTGTTCCCTCAGGAATTCATGTGGGTATTATTAGAAAATATGTTACGCTTTGATCTTATTCTATTATAGAGTGACCATATTTTCCTCTCAACCTACCACTCTAAAAAAAAGTTATAAATTCTAAGGAAATGTTTGCTCTATTATTTTATATTCTGAATTCTTTAAGAGATAGGACCAGGTAACCAAGGCTGATGCTCAAAGAGTAAGAGTTTATGATATGCGCTAGGAAAAAAAAATACACTCCTACTTTTGTTTTATTTTCTAGATGTAAGGCCACTCAATCTTTATATCATTAGTTACATGTCTTAGATATCAATACATATTATTAATCAGAATAAAACATACCTTTGGCAAGCTAAAAATACAAGGACCTAAAAGAATGGTGTACTGTTTATATAGAAAATATACAGAAGTCTTCTTTTCTATAATATAAAGAATGAGTAAATAGAATTAGTTTCAGTTTTTAAGGACATTTGACAATAGAGTAGTTTGATAGTAAAATATGTGAACTTTTCTTCCCTTTTTGGAGTCGTGGGTTTTTAAATATTAGCTTGTGACTTTCCCAATGAAGCCATCCAAAAAGCCACACTGACTCTTTTAGTCTGCCATCAGAGTGATAAATCCTTTATAGTTTTTTTGGTGGTGAGAAGTATGTATCACACCTACTGTGTTTACTCATTGATGTGCAGTATTGAAACTATTCTTTCCTTCTCTTCTCAATTCTGTGTTCACAGCAATCTACTGATGTTGAAGTGGGAGCTGACCTTGTCCCTTCAGTCACAGTGAAGGTATTGTACATAGTTCTAGACCGTAATGTGAAAACAATATCACACATTTCATCACATCTGCCACTTGTCACCCTATAAGTAGCTCATGGAAATGTAAAACAAACACTTGGTGGGCAGAAGAACTAATAGACATTTACCAGAGAGAGCATCAAAATGGCCAACAGACACATGAAAAGGTGCTCAACATCACTGATCGTCAGGGACATGTGCATCAAAACCACATGAGATATCACCTCACACCTTAGAATGGCTGTCATAAAGAAGACAAGAGACAACAGGTGCTGGTGAGGATGTGGTGAAAAGGGAGCCCTTAAATATTGTTGGTGGGAATGTAAGTTGATCCAACCACTTTGGAGATCAATTGGAGGTTCCTCAAAAAAATTAAAAAAAAATCTGTATGACCCAGCAACTCCACTTCTGGCTATAAACCAAAGGAAATGAAAATAGTATTTCCCACGAGAGATATACACTCTCATGTTTATCGCAGTATTATTCACAAAATAGCCACGATGTGGAAACAACCCAAATGCCTATCGATGGATGAATGGATAAAAAAAGATATGGTACATATACACAATGGAATATTATTCAACTATGAGAAGGAAGGATATCCTTCCATTTGCAACATGGTTGGATCTTGAGCACGTTATGCTAAGTAAGATAAGTCAGACAGAGAAAAACAAGTCCTGTATGATATCACTTATATGTGGGAATCTAAAAAAGTTAAGCCTGTAAAAAACAGAGGGTAAAATGGTGCTTACCAGGGGATTGGGGGCGGTTAAGAGTGATGATGTTTAAGGGCACAAACTTGTAATGAGTAGTAAATAAGCCATAGAGATCTAATGCACCGTATAATGAATATAGATAATATTGTACTATAATTATGTAATGTGATAAATATCACTGCCTAGGCAATCATATTGCAATATATAAATGTATCAAAGTAACATGCTGTACACGTTAAATGTACACAATGTTACACATTAAATTTATTCAATTAAACAAAAGATTTCTTGGTTAAAAAGTTAAGAAAAAGAAAAAGCCAAACAGTTGACATTTGTAAGTTTTCCTCAGCCTTGAGTAGTAAATAGATAGCCTTTATTGTTTACTACAAATATAAAACTAGTAATTGCATTTATAGCAATATGTATATAACAAAAAATTGTTATGACTTATTCCTACCATTAATTAAATGTGTAGTGTGATTAAGGGTCTTTTTTCTAGAAACAAAATTAGTATTTAAATATACTAAAGGAATTGTGTCATCACATTCATAGTAGACCAAGCAGTTGATTGTATTATCATATATATATTGGGGAATCATATGAATGTTAATAATATCTTTCTTCTATGTATGATTATGTGTGTGTTTGAAAAGAATTTCCAGCCATCTATCTGCCATAGTATTAACTTTAAATGGATGTATTTATGGCAAGAAAATATTAAATGAAGAAGCCACAAAATAGAGTAGTGACAAATTGATAGTCCCCAAAAAATAGAATATGAAGGATGTGGTTTTGGTTAAGATTTTTAGTCCTGCCATTGTAGAATTTTAGAACTAGAACTCAAATGTAGAACCCTCTTAAGGCATTTAGATTAAAGTGTGGTAATAAGTCAGCACATTATTAAGCTGAAAATATTTATCACTGCCCAGACTTTGGAGCCAGGGAAAGTTGTGGATCTTGGCGATTTGCTAAGTCAAAACTTGGACAGGGCTTTATATTTTCTTAGATTATGGGTTGCTGTCCTTGGAGGAGTTTGACAGGGCACCAGGCTTTACCAATTGTGTTCGCTTATGCTAGACCCAGCGAGTGGCCCAAGTGTGGGGATCTTTGGTAGAATTTGAAGGGAGCCGAATCTTATAACAGTTTCCTAAGCTAATTTTTTTGGATTCTTGCCACTGGTAGCAAGGGTGGTCTTTTCCCAGTCTCCATTCCCCCTGTCCAATCAAAGGCTCTATCCCATTAATACTTCTGAGTCTGGAAAAGCATTAGTGGCAAGAAATCAATCATTTAAGAAAAAAAACCCAACAACCCTGTAGCGTTCCAGCAATGATCTATAGACTTCTGTGTAGGGAAATCTCTTTTATATCTATCTACTGATACTGTTCTGACACATAACATAATAATTCAGGAGCACACTGCAAATTGCAAAAAGAAATCTTGTACCTAAACCAGATAACTTTGCTCATGCTAATTTTTTCCCTCACTACTAGTTACTGCTATAAATAAATACACATTTCCCTCCCATGCCGTTCTTAAGCTTTCATGTGTAATAGCCACCTTAAAATGGTGGCATGACACTATTGGAAAATTCTCCTTCATTAGGAGAATAACATTTAACTATGTTTGAGAATGGCTAAGTCACAGCTCTCTTCCTTATTGCCATTATAAAAGAATGGGAAAGAATGCGACACACAAGAGTTGTACAAAATCAGCTGGACTTAAGCAGCAGACACCATGACTTCCTGATTCTGCCTGACAGTTCCTATACAAATTTCTGTTATAAATCTCTCCTTATAGCCTTTTATAACAACAGCAGCCAAGATATATAACCATGGAAGTTTCCATCATAATAAATCCTGTTAATTGAGAAAATTTTTCCATCCGTTCCAAGTGAATGAAGATGTGGCTACCTTGAGTGTGTGTGCGTGATGCGTGACCATCTATCTATTGCAGGCAACTAAGGCAGAGTGGTTGTTAATACCTGGCCTTTGGAGTCATGTTTATATATCTAGGATAAAAATTTAGTATTATGTTTCCTGAGGATCATATTTTATTTTGTTAGAAATGGAAAATAGCATGGAAAATTCAGATATTAATTTTCATATTTCCCCCTTAATATAATTATTTTTCTCTTAAAATATGAGGTTTATGGTCTAGCCAAGTCTTTAACTTTTTTTTTGGCTCAAACACAACTCTTCTTTGTTACTGTAGTTATTTTTGTCACACATCTTCTTGATTCACTTTTGAAAGTGCCTAGTCCATTGTTGGGATTCAATAGATCTGTGTATGAGAGTTATCACCATTGATCTTGCATCTAAACTAAATGCAAGCACTTGTAACAAAGTAAAATTGTACGATTGTTGTCTAAGTACATGTTGTTATGCCAGGCAGAGTCAGAACGTCTGCTGTCTTAAAAATGGCTTATTCTACCTCAAGGATTTTTCATTTTCATTTTTAAAACTAACCTCTCACAAGATGTTCCTGGTCATAGTTTTCAGCTCTCTTGCACATGTTGGCTGGATGGTCTTAGACGTATTATTGAGCTTCTGTGAACCTCTATTTTTAAACTGTAAAATGATGGTACTTCTTCATTTGCAGAGTTATTTTGGGACTTAACCACAATTGATTAAGAGTGTGGGCTCTGGATTCTGACAGACAGAAGTTAAATTGTGCTTCTTCCACTTATAATCAGAGTAGCGTTAGTCAAATTATCTAGCTTCTCTGAGCCACATTTTTCTCTTATGTAAAATGGTATATTGTGATAGTACCTGTTTCACAATGTTGTAATGATTAAATGAGATAATACACATAAATAATTTATTAGCATGGTTTCATGAATATAGAAAGCTGCTAATGGTTATTATCATTAATTTTATTTAAAAATATATGTACAGACCAGCATATTATTGTTAACAGTAAAATATTGAAATTGCGTTCTGTTTATTTAGTGGAATAGCTATCATGTCTACAGCACATGCGTACTTTCTTCTTCCCATAATAACCATCAGTGTTTTATTAAAAAGGTATTATGCTTTTTATAATGGTCAGATATCATTACAGAATCTTTGTGGTATGCAGATTTCCCGCCATGTATTCCCAGGGCTTATAAAGTAAAAATTGAGTGTTCATTGTTCATTTGCTGTGTTTATTGTACTTATTTGCATCAATAGTTGTCCTTTAAAATTTTTACTTTGCAAGTCAAAAATTTTGTGCTTATTTTAAGTTGTACAGAATATCCACATCATTTAAAATTAATACAAGACATTTACTGAATCTAATTATATGTGTATAATGTTTGTGGGCCAGATGTATATTCTTGTATATTGTTTATCTATAGTATGTATGTATATATATAATTAAGGAATAGTTGATACATGCCTTTTACCTAAGAGAAAATTCAAAATGACTTTTCTTAAAAATTAAGTATGCCCTTGCATTATGTCAATTAATAATGGAATGTATCTGTCTCATATACTAGAGTCTAGTAACTAGACTAAATTATTCCATAGCAAAGGTGCCATGTATAATAGAAGAGTGCTTCTCAACTCTGGTTGTAAATAGCTATCACCTGGGGAACTATTAAAGCAATACCAATACCCAGGTCTACTCCCAGAGATTGTGATTTAGTTGGTCTAGCAACTCTACCTGGCCAGTGACTGTGATAAATCTGGTTTACCATGTGGATAAACTCATCCAAAGAGACTGTTCAAAGAGGCTGGGGCTTTTAGGAGGCAAAATCCAAAGAGAGAATGTTCCCAGTGGAAGCCAGATCTTTAAGCTTTTTCTTTGATGCCCCTAGCATTGTGGCCCAGTAAAGATCCTTGGGCCTGATGGATTCTATTGACGTTCCTCCTCAGGGTGAGTGAGAGAAGTCCTGGCCTTCTCTACCCATACCCACCCTATTTCTCAGTCAAACTGTTAACCCAGAATTCATAGCTATTAACTCTGACTGGAATGGGAATTATCATTCCAAGCATCATCAACTAAGAGCACCAGTTTGGAAATGCAGCCAGCTTAGAAATGCAGCAGTCATTATTGCCATTCTTTGATATTTTCTAGAATTAGTTATGTCAGGTATTTTTGTATTAAGCCGTGGAAGAAAATGTAGTGCTTTGATATGTATTTAAACTATTGATAGTAAATACCTACCTAGAAAGGAAATCTTTAGAGCGTAACTTGTGTAAAAGGTAATATACTGATACTAGATAAAATAAATAATTCATGATGCCACATCTATACATGTAAAGAAGAATGAACACATATAATATCTCATGATGTAATTATTCACCAGACATGAGGGCAGATGTTTTTGGTCTGCTTTTGAGAGAACATTTTTTAGTAGCTTTATTGAGATATAATTCACATACCATACAATTTGCTCTTTTAAAGTGTACAATTCAATGATTTTTAGTATATTTGCAGAGTTGTAGAATGATGACCACAATTTAATTTTTGAACATTTTTGTCCCTCCAAGGGAAACCCCATATTCATTAGCTGTCACTTGCTGTTCTCTCCATTCCCCCACCCCCAATCCCACTACTATCCCAAAGCAACTACTAGTCTATTTTCTGTCTCTGTAGATTTATAGATTTTCCCACTCTAGATATCTCATATAAATTGAATCATATAATATGTGGTCTTTGTGACTGGCTTCTTTCGCTTAGCATAGTATAATGTACCCATGTTGTAGCATGTGTTAGTACTTCATTTCTTTTTGTTATTATTAATATTATTAAATATTATTCTGAATAACATTTCATTGTAGAGACATACCATATTTTGTTTGTCCATTCATCAGTTGATGGACACTTGGGTTGTTTCTAGTTTTAGCTATTATGAATAGTACTGCTATGAACATGTGTACAAGTTTTTGGGTGGACATATGTTTCATTTCTCTTGGCATGGAATTGTGAGGTCAGATGGTCATTTTATGTTTAAGTTTTAAAGAAACTGTCAAACTTTTTTCTTGAATGGCTATACCATTTTACATTTCCATCAGCAATTTATGCAGGTTCTAGTTTCTCTACATTCTTGCTAACACCTGTTTTTGTCTGTCCTTTTGGTTATAGCATTTAAGTAGATGTGTAGTAGTATCTCATTGTGGTTTTACTTTGTATTTCATACAAAGATTTTGAGCATTTTTTCACGTGCTTATTGGCTATTTGTACATCTTCTTGGAGAAAAGTCTGTTCAACTCCCTTGCCCAGTTTCTAACTGAGTAGAACTTTTTAATCTACTACCTATGTTACAGGTTATGTTTTGTGACAGCTCATTTTTTTTTCTCAGATGGTATTTCCTAATTATTTGCTAATGATTTTTTAAGTAGTTGTGATATTCTATCAATTTGGAAAAAATGTAATATTTTTATTAATAACGATTTCTATTTTCTCAGGTCACACTGCAGAATCGAGTGACATTACAAAAGATCAGATTATCGGTCTATGTACAACCACCTTTAGTATTGACTTGTGATCAGTTCACCTTTGAATTTATGGGTAAGTGTTTTGTTTTGGCTTAAAGTCTATCAGGGTATGAGGTTTTTTTTAATTAAAATTTTTTTTATCAGTGGGTTTATTTCATGGCTCTATTTCTTGTCTGAATAGTGAGACTGGTATCTTCCTGAAATCAATGATTGTGTTGTTTTGCTTATATTTTCCCTCCAAACATCAAGCATGGACATTCAGTGAATGGCTGTTAAGTTGAAGTAATTACAGATTTTCAAGCGCTTTTCTTAATAATTGTACTTAAATACTATATTTTGGAAGGCTTTTTTATTGGTGTTTCTCTAGTGAGCTATTTATTGAATCTGTAATGTTTGAAGAAAGAATATTGGCTTTGGAGTCTGGCCTGAATTTGAATCCTGGCTCTGACACTCAATGTGTAACCATGGGCAAGCTACTTTAGTAATTACTTGGAGCCTCAGTTTTGTTTTGTTTTAATCTGCAGAAAGGGGATAATGATATCTGTGTTACAGAACTGTTTTAATTAGAATTTAATCAGAAAATTAATTGGACTTAATTAGAAAATGAATCTATGTAAGGTAACTGTAATAATGCCTAAGATTTCTTTGCATAGGGTCTCTCTTACCACTTACATCCAGTTGTCATTAGTCCTGTTAAAATGATTTCTGAATTATCTTTCAAGTCTTTTTCTGTCTTTCTTCACTGCTACTGTTCAGCTGGGAACCCTATGTCTTATTCACAAAAAGCAAGAACATATCTCTCTTTTTTCCTTTTTATAACCAACCCCTACCTTAGGTGCCCGACAGATAGTAGAAACTCAGTAAGTATTCATTGCATCAGTGAATGAGTGATTGAATGGTTGAGGTAAACTTGTAGGTGATATCTCACTTTAGTTTTTAATTTTTCACAATACTTCCAACTTGTCTTTCTAAAACACATTCTGGACCATTAATTTTTCAAGTTAAAAACCTCTTATAGCTCTCTAATGCAGGTTGGAGGTCAAATACATGAATATGGAAGGCTATGCACAATCTGCCAAGTTGCCACAGTTTTAGTTACATCCATATCCAATTCCCCCTTTCATTTTCTCCTGCAGTCTGTGTTCTAGCCATGATAAGGTACTATTTCCCACTCCCAAGTTCTCTTGCCCTTTGCGTACCTTTTGCTTTGTTCATGCTGCCTGTTCATTTGAGTAAAGAGAAGCAGTGGTGTAGAATGTTAGGTACTCTTGTTCTGGAGTCAATTCCCAGCTCTGTATTAGCTATATGACCTTGGGCAAGCTTTTTAATCTCTTTGTAGCCATTTTCCTCATGCACCAAAAAATGGGAATAATAATAATACCCACCATGTAGGGCTGTTGTGAGGATTAAATGAGTTAATCTATGTAATTGTTATGTAAAGTGCTTAAGACAGTAGCTGGCATGCAGTATATATCTAATTTTAACTGTTTGTTAATAATAATTGTCCAAAATTATGTAATATATTATTTTTACATTGCTTATAGCACCAGAGATGACTAGAACAGTAGGCTTTTCTGTTTATCTGAAAGGAAGTTATTTACCATCTGAATTGGAAGGAAATGCTGTTGTTTCTTATTCCAGACCTACAGGTAAGCATACAGTTGTTCATGAATTTACAAGCCTAATCACTTCTTTTAAGTTTTTGGAGTTATGAGTTAAATGTTTAAGTGTTTAAAATGGGAAAACACATTGTAAAATATTATTAAATGAAAAAATATTCTTTTCTAGTGTTAAATAAAAATGTATGTTCAAATTACTTTGATGTGTTATGAATAATTAGTGATAGTCTATTTAGCTGATTTCCATATGTAATGTTTGATTCTATCTTTTCAATTAATAGCAAATATGATGTATTTTTATTCCCACTAGAAGAATGTTATCTAGTCAGACTTCATGTATTTGAACTAAAGAGAAAAACCTAGTCTGAATTAGTAAAAAAGACTATTATGGGTTGCTGTAATATTAAGTCAGTCTTCAGAGTTTCAAACACTGCTTTAGTGATTAAATAAAACTATTATCTTACATGTTAAAATATTTAAGAACAGGATCTGTATTATTTCAAGAAACTCTTAATAGATCAAAAATGTTATCTTTAGTCCAGTGAGATCTAATTATTATAAATTTCAACTTGGGTTCAATTTTGTAGTTTTGTGTGTGTGTGTGTGTATGTGTAGTGAATTTTTCATAGTAACAGTTTGACAATTAGTTGATTGATAGAATAAGAATAATTAGTTATTGCTTTTTTTAAAAACATTTCAATGTAGTGTAACTGATAGGGTATTTCAACAATGTTGCATTTGTGTTTTTTAAGCATTTCTGTACAGTTTTCTTAATTTAAAAAGCTTAGAGATGCCTTATTCATATTTTTTTCTCTCTGTTGATACCTACTTTGCTTACTTAGCAATGTTTTTATGAAACTGATGCAACTACCTACTGTGCTAACAAGGCACCTTGGCAATGTTTTTAATAATAGTAGTTCTTATTTTGTCTAAGTGAATTTTCTGTTTTATGCATTGACAACTCTATGCTTGGAGGTGATTTTGTAACTTTAGTACATGTTTTCAAAATCTGTTTCTCCTTCTTTGTAAGTTATTTTGCTTTAAATTATAAAAAAAATCATTTCTGGCCAGAAGTAACCACTTTAACCATTTACCTGTATTTTCAAAATTTGGGGTAACATAAATATTTTATGGTTAAATGGCTTTGCGAAAGCTGGCTTTGGAGAGAAATACAAATCTTCTGTAAGGGATCAAAGAATGATGGACTTCTTAGTTGGATGTTTCTGAAAAGAGCATTGAAATGTTCAGTGTTATTTTAATTTTGAGTTGTGAAATAAAAAACAGGAAATGTTGGCTAAAATCTCTAGATCATTTATCATTAACTGAACATCTCAATAATCATAGGCATGATTATACTTTTTATCTTTGTTACACCTTGTGTATGTAGTTATAGAGATTGTTGATGCCTTAATTCAACTCGTTATTTCATTTGCTTTCAAAGAAAAGTAGTGATAGTGGTTGAAAATAAAGAAATGGATTACCTAGCAAGTGGACAAAAGGCTTAAAAATTCATTACAAAGTTATAAAATCATTCAGTGAGCTTATGGTTGCACATACCATTTTTAGCTATTATGCTTTTCTAAAGACAGAATTTGAAAGACTATAAATTGTTACTAAACCAAAGAGCATAGGCATTAATTGGTTGAAAGTTAATTAGAAGTTAAAGTAAAAACAAGTCTATAAAAGTAAAAGAATACCATGACAAGCTGAAAAAAAATAGACATTGTTCCATAGTAGTATCTATTAACTAAAGTTATAATATAAGCAAGACTAACTGGAAATATTAATATTATATATTTGTCTTTCACTCAGATTTTTTCCAAAAAATTCATTTAATGCTCTTGATGTCATTTACATATTGAGTCTGGTTTGCTTTTGGCTAGATCATGTATCTTTACCTGTTTTTGCCACATTTATACTGGAATAACACCCTCTCATGGATTTCTGAGAATGGATGAAATATATTGTTAGATTTCATTTATTCATGTTACATTCTTCAATTGTGAATCGGCTTATCTTTATTGGAGGGCCATTTAAATCATCTGTAAGAATCTTCAAAATTTTAAATTATATTTTAAGCAGATATGTGTTAAGTTTGTGTTGTAATTTTATAACAGATAATTTGTTACATTTTCTACCCTATCCCTTTTTGAATTGCCTCTGATGGATAGATCGAAATCCTGAGGGTAAGTGAAAAGATAATTTAGAACAAAATGAATTTCAGAACTGAAATTTGGTCAGTTAATTCAATTGGTATTATACCATGAATGAATTCTTTTTATGGACTACTGTTTTAACTATAGCAACCTCTTTAGGGTGATTCAGTGCCTTGATCTGGCTATGGAGAAGCTAGTATATGTTTCCACTTATAGATACTTGTTATTCATTATTAGTTGTTTCAGAGTCATGAGAAACAATGAAGCTCCATGACTTTTTTGAACAAAACCAAAGGCACCACTGACAACTTATTTTTGTAAGTCATTGGTGATTTACCTGTATGCTCAGTTATCTTGGTTTACTTAAAAAGAGTAAGGAAAAAAATTCTGAATTCTAAATTCTATGATTCTGTATACCCCAAAATATTCACCTCTTTGATCAGAATGCCATGTGTACTCATTCTATGGGCCTATTTCTTGTCTTGTTAGAATTTGTGGGGGAATATCATCAAGGGACTGACCCCTTGAACTTGCCTGGGTCAGTGTTGTCACCATTTTGTTTTCCCCAAATCCTTTGTTTATTACTCTGCTATAATACTTATCATACTATGAATTTCATTAAGTTTGTTCCTTAGGTTCCCCTAGTAGATTTTTGAGCTCTTTAAGAGCAGGGTTCAAGTACTTAGGATTGTATAGTATCTGGTTATATGACAGGTACTCTATAAGGATCTTCTACTTTGATTATTTTTCCTCCTAGACACAGACTTAATGTGATGGTTTGTCTTAGTTTAATAGCCATTTTAGATTAGTATTAGGTAATATTAATTAGTAATAATTAGATAAATAAAATACTTAAAAATAATGGCATTATTTACTCATAGTTTTGGTGGTGCCAACAACCTGAGTTGCATAGTGTCTGGGAGGTGAATATATATTTATATGAGAAATATTTTAATAGAAGTAAGCTTTTAGCTTAATAGTATAAAGTATGCTTGTCAAATTAGAATTTGGGTTATTAAAAATAATTTTAATAATGAATATTTACATTTTACTTTGCAAGATTTCATGTAACTGATAAGATTTTGCAATAACTTTTATAAAATACAATATTATTATTTAAATTATTTGTTTTGAGTTTTAAAAAAATCAGTAAAGGTTATTATTGAAAGGAATTTATTTCCTCTTACTAAAAATTCAGATCAAACCATGAGAAAAAAAAATCACAATATATGGAAATTTTAGTATTTCAATGCAAACCTGAAGCTGGTTTTAATAATCTCTTATTATATATTTTAAAATTATAATTAAGCTTCAGGGAGTAGAGTTGAAATATTCAGCTTTACCTAGTAGGCAAGAAAATAATATGTTGCCACTTAGATCTTACTTACATAAGGCTTCAAATTTCAAAGACTTTTCCATTTTATTGGCCTGATCTGTTCAGGCTGTATTGCAGATAAGCAGTCCTGCTTTTACATATGGAAAAAGAGAAGCAAACGAGGTTTTATGTTGTCCCATAAGAGTTTGTCTCCATTATTTCTGCATTAAAGTTACATGACATGGGCAGTGTAAAACATGACTGCAGATGGAGCACAGTACGTAGCCAGACATAACAGGAAGGGATCAAGGAAGTTCTGGCTACCAGACATTGCTACTGCTTTGGGGTTCCTTGTTTTCAATAAGAAATGACTCTGGCAGGCCCCTGGAAAGAGTTCTAAAGGCATTATGTAGATGTGTAATATATAGATATAGTTATTCTACTCTGGTATATAAGTTCTTTTTTCTTTTTTTTAAAGCACATTTTGGCATCCCTCTTGACAGTGATACTGGTCTCTTGGGTGTGCCAGGGGTAATTAGAATTCTCTTCCTGGAAAAATTGTTCTGTCAGGAGTGATTTTGATCTGAATTTTCTCTCTAAGTGTTAAATAATTTTGTGATTAATTGCACCATGGTAGTTGCGACTATCCATTTCCTCTAGTAGGCTAGAAGGGGAAGTGTTTGAAGGAGAGGTGATTATATTTGTTTAAAAACTGTAGGAAAAGTCAGTGTGATGAGTGAGTAGGCCAATATTTGAGTATTACAAATGACCAAATTCTTCTTTTCTCTCAGCATTATATTCAGAGAGTTGAATAAGCCAAATAGAGACTGTTTTGCCAACTAAATATCACTGATGGTAGGCAGTTAGGATCAGTTAGGCTCTTTCAACTGAGTTGAAAGCTATCCTACTAGCAACTTTGGAAAGTCTTTAAGTGCAATATAATTCTTTCCTTCCTTATTACAGATACACATATGCATATACTCACACATACCTCTACATGTTTCTGGCTTCAGGTTCTTAGCTACAGTTATAGCCTGAAGAGTAACTGGTAGCCAAATCTGCATTCCAAGTTTCTTAAGAAAATGTAAATCTCAATAGAAATGTGCCACTGATAAACTCCATGTCTAAATACTAGACATTATATTTTGAAATGTTCGGGTTTTAATTTGATGGGAAGTAATATAAAATATTGGCAGTATAATTTTTCTTTTTAAAGGTATGGTTTCCTTAAACTGGTTTCTAAAGGATTTCATACTCTTTTTCCCCCCAATGGTAAAACTTTTCAAGCTGCCATCATTTAAAAAATAGCCATAATCATTTTATTAAGTATGAGTGTCATCATTTTTCAAAGTAATGTTTTCCAAATGTCCTGTGAAACAGGTTTACAATTCCTGGAGAGAAAAGAAATTCTGGAGGGGTTCTTCAAATCTTAGCAACTGCAGACCATTGCCCTAGTGTGTGATATTGTCATTAACTGACTTAACTGAGCTGTGAATTGAGTTACAATGTATTTCCCTTCTTGGGTTTATTAGTGCTTGCAATCCATTTGTTTCAATTTCTGAAACATTTATACACCACCAGTTTCTTTAGCTCTGGGTTCTTGGAGTTTTAGGGTAATAATCTAAGTAACATAAGGCTAGTGTTGTTGATCATGATTAATTTTGTTTGACCACAAATTCAGTCAGTACCTGGTCCAAGTGAAGTAGAGCCACAGTTTCAGCAGTGTAGTTTTAGAAGAGCATTTACAGCCAAATTTTATTTGAACAATTAGCTCAGACTTTGGTTGAAAGTACATAGAAGATAGCTTCTCTTTGTGCATGTACAGGATTGTCAGAAGATGAAGCATTTTTTCCCTGTTATTCTATTCATTGAAAATGAAGGAACTGGAACTAGGTTTCAGTTTCCTTGTTCTTTCCAGACTGCATCTATTAATTGAGGCTGTAATTTATATATTGTAGAGGAAAAACATTAGTAGGTATATTTCCATAATATGGGGATATATGGAATATATGAAGTTGGAAAAAATAATGCTTTGTAATATTTTTTGTAGTGTTATTGATAGTTGTGGTCTGAGCAGTAGCTTAGATCACGTTACCATAATATTTTGAGTCAAAACATTTCATCATTTTAAAGTACAAATACACATGCCTCTAAAACCTCACAAAATGTCAGGAAATAATACCCTGGGACTTCTCTGAAGAGACACCAGTTATAGTTTGCATCTAGGATTCCAGGAGAAGTGAATTTAACATCTGTTGGTTATGAGCAAAAAATGAGCTATGTAAAATTTGATGGATAATAGATTATGTTGAAGAGAATGACAAATATGCTCCACATGCTCTGAAAAAGTATTTAATTGGCTTCATATATCAATATGCTTGCCATTGTTGATCTCTTACTATCCTAGTGAATAAGTAGTTCTGAAAAGTGTACTCCCAGCTTGGTTATAGAGTAAACCACACAACTCCAATTGGCATTAACAAAATATATTGCTAATTCTAGGAATCCTATTTGGGATCATGTCTCCAAACTTTACTGCTTCCGCTTTTGCTATTTTTAAGCTGCTCTCTGACTCCACCGTAAAGAAATAAAGGAATTAATGTGTGGATCTATCCAGTAGAGTAGAACATTTTAAGTTTTCCTTTTTTCTACAGTAGTTTACTAAGATATAGTTTTCTGTATATTATCTTTTGTCTTACCCAGTCAAAAATAGAATCCTAGTATAAAAGGAGAGAGAACTAAAGTTGTAGAATTGCTTTACTTGATTTATAAGTAGAGAGCTTAATTTGCTTTGGTTTCAGTTTCATTCTTTGTAAAAATATTAAAAGGAATGATTTTTAAAAACTTTAACTTCTGATATAAAACTCTTCATTGTTATTTATTTATGCAGTTACTTATTTCAATATACCTATATACTTTCTGAAAAAATTTGAGAATTGAATGACTATGTAAGCCTTTCAAAATGTTGCTTAATAGTGATATGTAAAGTTAAATGGATTGAGAAAAATTCAATTTGTATGAAAGTAATATTCTTCATATTGATGTGTAAAATGACATTAGAATGAACTTCATTAGAACTTCAGTAGGGCAAATTCTGCTTTCATGCTCATAATTTATTGCAAATTGTTAATTGTATTTTGAATCTTCAATAAGTAAAAAAACAAAAATTAAAAAATTCGGGGGGTAAAGAAATGATTAGATATGGTCATATAGAGTCTTCCTGATATAAATTTCATATTCTTTGCTCGTTTTAGCGGATAGTCTTGGGTTAGGGCTAGAGCTTTGAAGGTCTTAAAGACAGTTCAGTAATTGAATATAACTACATATAATGTTTTATATAGCATTCAACTGTGATGATTTTTAAAATATGATATTACTATTAAAGGCAGAGTTTACCCCATGCTCCTTTTTAAGATTTTATTTTTGCCTTGCACTTTTTGACAATAAAGTAAAAACATAAATTATGATAATGCTTTCTAGTTATTTCAGTTATGCTAAATGAAATGGGCAGGTAACAAACATTTAAACTAAGATATGTTGCTACTATGTACTACTATTAGTAGTACAATATTTTTCTTATTTGTCAAATTTATGAATATATGTTTCTCTTTATTTCAGGCATTCCTCGAGTTAGCCAATGTAAGTTTAGACTTCCCCTGAAATTAATCTGCTTACCAGGCCAGCCTTCAAAAACTGCAAGCCACAAACTAACTATTGATACCAACAAATCTCCAGTCAGTCTTCTCAGTCTCTTTCCAGGTAGGACTCTTGAAGTAACATGCCTGTAACATCAGAAATGTTAAGAATTTAGAATGGAATCCTTCATCAGCAGGTAATGATGGGGTAATTATCAGATAATTGTTAAGTCAGAATATAAAAGTGCCTCAAGGATTTTTTCGTTCTGTTTGCGGGTTCAAAGGAAATAGCTTATATCAACAAGGTAATAAAGCGTACCTTTTAAGTTTGATTAAAATTATTATAATCATTATTTTGCTTCAGTATTCAGAAATGAAAACATCAGATGTTCCTTTTTAGACTGTGGAATTTTTTGGCTTGGAATGTAAATATTTATTATTCATCTTTATTGTAGGTTTTCAAATATATCCCTTTTCTAAGCATGTAAATATTTATTATTTGTCTTCATTGTAGGTTATTGGAAAGGTACCTTTTAAAAGCATATTCTTATGCCCCTGAAAAGTAACCTCATAAGTAGGTACTCTATGTGGTTGTGCTGTCTTCAGCAGCTGGAGGGGGCAATGTTCATTCTTTGCCTCCAGTGCTTTAGAAGGGGCTACATGTATAAAGCTAGAATATCACAGTGAACATTATTGGTAATTTGTGAAGGTGTGACTTTCTCCAGGTGTTGGTTTTTCTTTTCGAGTAGCTTAGAAAAGAGAGAGGCATTGATTGGATAAAACATCTTTAGTTGCCAGGGTTTCTAATGTGTCGCATCTATTACCTTTCTTGGTGATGAGGTGGAATTAAAAAAAATAATCTGGGAATTAAATCGACCCTTTTAAATCCATCATTAAAAATCAGCACTGTTGACTGTAAGATGCATCTTCATCCTTGCATTAGTGAATGGATTTAGAATACAAGTATTTCCCACAAGGTTTAGAAATTTATGGTAAGTCAACTTTAGTGTTATTACCTACTTAAAGTGATTAAAATTTATTTTTCATTAATTTGAAGTGTTTTTAAAAGCTTTATTTATATATAACTCTATGAAAAATCTCCAAGATGCTCTTTATTACAGTTAATCTATTTAGTTTGAATGAGTTTGAATGAATGAGAGTGTGTGTGTGTGTGTGTGTGTGTGTGTAGTTAGCAAATAGTTTTGTACCTTTTGGTTTCTAATTCCCTTTCATTCCCTTTCTTCTTCGTCAATTTTCTTATAACAAATTTGGATTATAAAAAAGGCAGAGAGGGGCTTCCCTGGTGGCGCAGTGGTTGAGAGTCCTCCTGCCGATGCAGGGGACGCGGGTTCGTGCCCCGGTCCGGGAGGATCCCACATGCCGCGGAGCAGCTGGGCCCGTGAGCCATGGCCGCTGAGCCTGTGCGTCCGGAGCCTGTGTTCCGCAACGGGAGTGGCCACAACAGTGAGAGGCCCGCGTACCAAAAAAAGAAAAAAAAAAAAAAAAAAAAGGCAGAGAGTCACTACCTTTATAACATCTTATGCAAACATACTAGTTCCTTGGTCTCGTATTCTATCCTGACAACATAGTTGGAAATTGTATGTTGCATACCAAATTTATTGATGCCTTTGAAAAATGTTTAAGACTCTGGCTTCTGAGTGGTCAATCTTTACTGTAGATGACTGAAACCGATAGAGATTGAATAAGAATGTATGCTTTTGACCAGAGAGGGAAACTCTGTAAGCTATGGATTGGTTAAGAAGTACTAAGGAAAGCTTATAACTCATCTGTCCTGATTTTGGACTCAGTTGTTTTGATGTCACAGGTATCTTAGGCTCGTCAGCATATATTTGCTTCTTATTCACTTTAGAAATGGGACTCAATGACAAATTTTAAAAATTTCCCCTGAGTCAATTTATGTAATATAGTTTGTTCTTTTTTTGAGTTTCCAGATTTGTGTTAATATTAAACATGCTGGAATCCTGTAATTGTTTAAAAGAAGTACTCTTGCTACTTTTTCACTTTTCATGATACGTTTCACTCTTGCTATATATGATGTTAAAGTTGCTATTACAAGTTATTTTTTAACGGAAATAAAATTAATGATATTCATAGAGAAGAAATAAAACTACTTTTAATCTACATCTCTTCCTATTTGTCTATTTCAGTTCTTTTTTTTTTGTATATTTAAAATTAATTTTTGTTATTACAAAAGAAATGTGAAATTTAGGAATGAATAACCAAAAAGAAGAAAATTAAAGTTACTGGTAATTCTTACACCCAGCAATATCTACTTATATTTCATTACATTTCCCTACTCTTTTAAAAAATATTTTTTCTAAGCATTTCATCCCCCCAAAGAATATTACTTTGCATATTACTGTGAGACACCTTTCTATATAATTAGATTTTTTATTTTATGATTTTAATGATTACATACTATTCTATCATAAATAATTTGGCCAGCATTATATTTTTCTATATTTATGTTGTTTTCAGTGTATTAATATTGTAAATATATTATAGCAATATTTCTCTAAATTTATTATTTCTTTTTTTTTTTTGCGGTATGCGGGCCTCTCACTGTTGTGGCCTCTCCCGTTGCGGAGCACAGGCTCTGGATGTGCAGGCTCAGCGGCCATGGCCCACGGGCCCAGCCGCTCCACGGCATGTGGGATCTTCCCAGACCGGGGCACGAACCCATGTCCCCTGCATCGGCAGGCGGACTCTCAACCACTGCGCCACCAGGGAAGCCCTATTATTACTTCTTTGATGAATATGTAAAAGTGGAATTACTGAGTCAAGCAAAGGATAATAGTATTTTTAAAGCTTTTGAAATATAATGTAAAATTGACTTCCTGAAGGGCCATACTAGTTAACTCTATCAACAGTGTTTGAATGGAGGTGTCTAGTGCCCCAAATACTGGCCAGTAGAGAATATTATAATTATAAAAAGCTTTAATATGCTTAATGGCTATATAGAAAATATTTATTTACATATATATATATAAATAATTATCTGGAGTGATTTTAGCTAAATGTGACTTAAGCAAGGTAATATGTATTTTTTATCTCAAATAAAGAGAGGTCCACAAGTGGGCAATGGAAGCTGGTATAGTGGTTTGTGAATGTTATCAAAGACCCAGCTCTTTTCTTTCTTTGCAATGTGCATTTTCTAGTGTGTTGGCTTGTTCCATGGCAATAAGATAGCTGCTTTGGCTTAAGTCATCATAACTGACTACAGGGCAGGAGGTAGGGGAAAGAAATAGCTATAGCAATGACTGTAACTTTTATCAGAAAGGCATGTTTCCATAAACTTCTTAGGAGATTTCTACTTAGGCCTCAATAGCCAAAATACTGTCACATGGCCTCTTCTAGCAGTAAAGGGGGCTGAGAACTAATGTAGATGGGCTGGGGAAAAAGAGGCTGGGAATAGATGTTAAATTAGCTGACATTCAGTGTATGCCATGATACCAGTAATTTTACATAAATGTAATAACAGGGCTTCCCTGGTGGCGCAGTGGTTGAGAGCCCGCCTGCCGATGCAGGGGACACGGGTTTGTGCCCCGGTCCGGGAGGATCCCACATGCCGCGAAGCGGCTGGGCCCGTGAGCCATGGCCGCTGAGCCTGCGCGTCCGGAGCCTGTGCTCCGCAACGGGAGAGGCCACAACAGTGAGAGGCCCGCGTACCGCAAAAAAAAAAAAAAAAAGTAATAACAAATAGCGTGCTATTGTAGCAGCCTTTTATGGTACTCAGATATATGGCTATCTTTTCTTGTCAACGAATTTGTATTTTAATGTTTACAAAATATTCTATTGTTTAGGGGTGCCATGTACATAGCTTTTTTGTACTTCTCTGTTTCTCTTTGGAGAAATTCCTTGAAGATAAATGACTGAGTTAAAGGATATGCACATTTGAAAACTTTATTCAAATGCCAAAGTTACTTCCAGAATAACTGTATCAGGTTACAAACCCAACATCAGGGTTTGTACCCAGGATAGCAGCTGGATTTAAAGCTTTTAAAATTTTTGACATGGTTAGGTGAAATATGACATCTCTTTTTAAAATTTGCATTTCTAAATTATTTGTTAGCATAGAAATTTTGTAATTGTTATTAACTACTTGTATTCTTTTAACATATAAGGTTTATATTTTTAGGTAGTAAAATTTATTTTAAAATTTAATTTTATAACTGTTTTATTTAGTTTCAAGTTTTCATGTTGTGCTTAGAATGATTTCTATTTTAAGGTTATAAAATATTAATTATATTTTTTTCTGGTACATTTTAATACATTCTTTAATTCTGAAACACAGCTTCAGTATATTTTTTGTTTTTATAAAAAACAACTTTATTGAAGTATAACTTATGTACACATGTATAAAGTATACAATTTGGTAAGTTTTGGTGTTTGTATATACCTTTGAAACCATCCCTGAAATCATGATGCAGAAAATATCCATCACCCCAAAGAGCTTCCCTGTGCCCCTTTGTGATCCGTTTTTCCCCCATCCCCTGGCAACCACTGGTTTCCTTTCTGTCACTATAGATTAGTTTGCACTTTCTGAAGTTTTATAAAATGGAATTACTCAGTATGTGTTCTTTTTTGTCTGCCTTCTTTCATTCCCTTTTCAGATTATATGACTTGCACATATTTTCTCCCAGTCTATGGCATGTCTTCTCATTCTTTTAACAGTGTCTTTGGAAGAGAAGTTCTTAATTTTGATAAAGCCCAATTTATCTGTTTTTTCTTTTATGGATAATGATTTTAATGTTATATCTGAGAAATTTTTGCCTAACTCAAGATTACAAAGTTTTTCTTGTACATGTTTTTCTAGAAGTTTTCTAGTTTTCTGTTTTCTATTTAGGGCTCTTATCCATTTTAAGTTGATATTTATGTATGGTGTGAGATATGGATAAAATTCATATTTTTGCATATGAGTATCTAATGTTCCAGCACTACTTTTTTTTTTTTTTTTGGCTTCACCACGCGGCTTGAGGGATCTTAGTTCCCCAACCAGGGATTGAACCCGTGCCCCCTGCAGTGGAAGTGTGGAGTCCTAACCGCTGGACTACCAGGGAATTCCGCCAAACTACTTTTGAAAAGACTGTTTTTTTCTACTGA